GCAGCTAACAGACCGAAAGAGCAGAATGAGGCCTGGTCTACACTAGGGGAGGGGATCGATCTAAGTTATGCAACTTCAGCTATGTGAACAACATAGCTGAAGTCGACGTACTTAGATCGACTTACCGTGGTGTCTTCGTGGTGAGTCGACTGCTGCCGCTCCCCCGTCAATCCTGCCTGTGCCTCTCACGGTGGTGGAGTACAGGAGTCGACGGGAGAGCGCTCGGAGGTCGATTTATCATGATAAATCGACCCCCGCTGGATCGATCGCTGCCCGCCGACCTTTAGACCCTTAGGGTATGTCTACACTACCCGCCGGATCGGTGGGCAGCGATCAATCCAGCGGGGGTCAATTCACCAGCTCACCATCAACCTCCAAACCTTTAACAAACATATTTAATAACACTGATCCAAACCCAGCCCCAGAGCACCCCATTATTAATCTCTTTCTACGACAAAGTGCAGCTTTGACACAGAGATGGATGTGTTGTCTTATTTGTTATTTTGTTTAATAATATGTCTAAAAGCATTCACAGGCCTTTGGACAGGTGTGTCCAGAAATAAATATATTAAAGCTTCTATCAACGTTTGCACACCTACAACATGTTTCTGTTGACATGTGACCCCCACAGTGCCTCACCTATCTGCAACCGTGTTAATTTTATAGCATAGGAGACGATAAACTTTTATAAACAAAATACTTGGCTCCTGCATCCTGTCTACAGGAAGGCAAGACGTGTGCCACTCGTGCAGAGAACTTAATTCTGGAAGTGCAGAAATGTCAGTACATGCCAGGACACTTTTAATTATATTCATACCCTCAGTGTACTCCAGTGCTGTTTTAAATTACCCCAAGCAAAAACCTTTTCTTTCCCATATAAAAGCCAAGGAGGATATTCTGTCAATCTAAACGTATTTCTGAGATCTTCTTTCTCACTAAAAGTATCTTAAAAGAAATACCGGGCCAGACTCTATTACCCTTATTCAGGCTGAGTAGTGCCTTACTCTCACTAGTCCATTCATTCCAGTCCGACTCCTCTCAGAATAAGGTACAATCAAGCCTGCAGCAATTAGGATTTGCACATACAGTTGGTGTCCACAATGGGCCTTGCACTTTGCATTTCCCTGGCTTGGCAGATTTCAGATTTTTGTGTTACTCGTTGTGTTTGGTTATTGCGGGCAGGCTTTGGAAAAAGGCAAGTCTTGAAAATGGTCATACTCAACCCCAGCTCTTGCCTCCTCCAGCAGGTTGTTCCGCAAGCAGAGGCCTTTGGCTGAAAAAGACTCCCCAAACAGTTTAGCTCCTCAAAGAGACTGCCGCTAAGGGCTGGTCTACACTGGGAGCTATGTCTCCCGGGGTGTGAAAAATTCACACCTGAGAGTTGTAGCTATGCCAAACAATCCCTGGAATAGACAGTGCTGAAGAATTATTCCATCGACTTACCTGCCACCTATCAGGGAGATGCATGGCCTGTGCCAAGGGAAGAACCCTCCCATCAGCATCGGTAGTGTCTACACTGAAGCACTACCATGGCACAGCTGCGGCACAGCAGGTGTGCTGCTATAGCGTTTTAAGCATAGACATACACTTGATCTCTTAAAGCACTGTTCAAAAGTAGATGTAAAAGGTGAATGTTTATTAATTGTTGGCAATGGAACCCATAGCATCCCACAACTTCTCCAAGAGGTCTTACACAGGCAAGGGGACAAAAATACCAATCATGGAGACTATATAGATCCCTGGGAAACCGCCACATGTCAGAGATCTTCTGGAGGTAACACCAGCTGACTGCCCAAAGCAGCAGCGTTTCCTCCCTGGCTTATTATGCCAGTCTCATTCTCAGAGAGAGTTCCTCCATCCAGCCTATCAATAAGCCTCACACAGGGTTATGCAGGGACCTGAGGATTATCCAGAAGTATATTCATAGATTCATTCATAAATTCAAAGGCCAGAAGGGACCATTGTGATCATCTAGTCTGACCTCCTGTATAACAGGCTATAGAAATTCCCTGGAAAAAAAATAATGAAGTCTCCTTTGAAAGTAGCCATGATAGACAGGAAGTCCAGGAATCCTAAACCATCAGTCTGGCCCCTTTCTGTAGGGAGAAATCTCAGGCCACTTATCTGGGAAGAGATGAGAAGTTGGCACAAAACTCAGACCTTCACTGGGATCTGAATCTCAGTGGAGACCGTCGTAAATTCCCAGAAAAAACAGGTTCCTGATACAGTATAGCCCCAAGCAATGGCTTTGAAGAGGAAGAAAGAAGAACTTGCTGGCTCAAATCAGAGATCCCATCAGTAATGGAAATTACGGACCTCCTCATCTTAGAACAGGTCTTAGACATTTTGCTTGCAAAAGTAACAGTGTTTGCACTCATCGGAAGAGGATACCATAGAGTAAGGACTATTTAGGACCCTAGTGGCCTGAAAAAACTCCACACCATCATTCATAGTCCAACGCAGAGGGGAAGATCACTCAGCCAAATGGTGAACAAGCATGGAAACTGGTAAAGGCAAGAAAGGACTTGTGGAGTCAGCGATATGACAGCTTTCTTATATGGCTAGTTTTGTTCAGCTATAGGGTATTGTGCAACCAAATTGAGTCTTACCACAACTTGGCAGAGAGAAATAAAATTTAATACTGAAAACTGCATTCTTCTTATAAACTCAGCCCAAGACCTCACTGAAAGATGCTTATTAAAATAGAGGAAAAACTACTGACAATACAGCCAGAAATCCCAGTATACATATCCAGTGGGGATGAATAGGAGATTATTGGGCATCAAAGGCTAGAGATGGATTGTTTTATTTAATCATTCTGCAATCTTCCTTACAGAAGAGAAAATACTGTAAATAAATCTCTTTGGTTAAAATGAGTCTGGATCATGTCTCTTCCCCTCAACAAATGCAGTGTCTGTTCTTAAGTGAAACTGGTGTTTATAGCTATCTTCTGAGGGAACTGATAGTATGACAAGGCAAGCAAAAGGAATAATTAAGAAAAATGATAGTATATAGCCCCCAAAATTGCATCTTTCATATGCCTTTTTTAAGCTAACCCCCATCCAGTTGGTCTATGAGCAGTGTGGCAGCACATGTATAATTGCTGAGGAAGCAAATACTTTGAATCAGTCCACAGAAACCATGCTGAACAGCTCCAAAAGGACTCCAGTCCAAATGTCACCCAGAAGAATGATAGCCATAATGCAGGGTCTCCAGAGATAGGCATGAAAAGCAGAACGCATTTGTTGAATGGCAGAATGAACTCACTTCCATCTCAAAGAAAGATAGGTTTAAGTACCTACAGAGCAAGCCCCAGTCTGAACTAAGAAGAATGCAGGATGGGTGGTGGGAGAGGAAAGCTGCAGAAGTCCAGCATTACGCAGATACAAACAATGCAAAGATGTTCTTTGACTCTCTCAAAGCAGTCTACGGACAATCTAAATCTGGCACAGCCCCCTTGAAGTCGTCAGATGGCACAACCCTCATCAAAGGCAAGGAGGGAATCATACAGAGATGGGCTGAACACTTCAGTAGTGCTCAATAGA